TCTTAATGAGAGTATTGTGTTTATCAAATCTGAGATTAATTATTTAAATAGATTTCTGTTCTCTGGTAAAATACTCCCCCTTTTTTTCTGTTTTCTTGAACATGAATAACTGTGTCCACGTCAGAAAACAGCAAATGTGTGGATCACCTGGGGGGTCAGTTTCTATTGTCTTGCACTTGAATTTTGGTCATTTAATCCTTTTATTCTGGAAAGTCTGATTAATTTTGGCTGTAACAGTTGACATTGCTTATAACAATTTGCAGTCTCTGTAAGATATCTTTATCCACAGAGGATTTATTTTCTTCTGTTAAGTAAGAGTATCAATACACCATTTTTTACCCAGTTAGGTTGCACATCCATTACTCATGAGGGTTAGGGAGATGAGCCATCTCGATGTACTTTTGGGAAGACAGCTGCACAGTATACACCAAATCTGAAAATGATAATTCTCTGATACAGCACTAACTCTAGAAATTTCTTCCAAGGAAGTAATAGTACAAATCCATGAAAATGAGTGTTACTATTCTAAATTTTTCATCAAACTGCTGTTTAGAAGACACAAACTGAGAGTCTTATCTGTAGAAAGTTAATACACAACACAGTATACGGATAGTGGAATACTGCACAATTAAGATACAGATCAGTGTTGACAGAAATTGTTTTCAACGTATTAAATAGTGAAGAAAATTAAGTTACAAAATAGTATGCATATTAACCTAGTTTTAAAAAATAGAATGTGTATCCATAGGCATAGAGGGACATTCTGAAAAGTGTTCAGTTTATACCATATCAATAGTGTTTCTACTTTTATTCATAATAATGCCTTTTCTGTATTATTTTGCTTATTTCTAGGCATATATCTAAAAGAATGGAAATAAGTATATTAAAGATATAGCTGCACCCCATGTTTCTTATAGCATTATTCACAAATATTCAAGATATGGAATCAACCTGAGTGTGTCCATCAAGGAATGCCATTAAAAAGGATGAAATTCTGTAATTTGCAGCAACATGGATGGAACCAAAGTACATTACCTTATGTGAAATAAGTCAGGCATAGAAAGATAAACATCCTATCATCTCACTAAAAAAGTTAATCTCATAGAGATACAGAGTAGAATGATGGTTACCAGATGCTGGGAAGGGCTGGGGGTGGGATCACAAGGAGAGGTTGGTCAGTGGGTGCAAAAATACTTAGAAGGATTAAATTCCAGTGTTTGATAGGGTGACTAGAGTTAAGAGTATAATGTATAGGCTCAAGGCCTGTAGCTCAAGCAGCTAAGGCACCAGCCACATACACCTGAGCTGGCAGGTTCAAATCCAGGCCAGGCCCGCCAAACAACAATGAACCAAAAAATAGCTGGGCCTTGTGGCAGGCGCCCATAGTCCCAGCTACTTGGGAGGCAGAGGCAAGAGAATCATTTAAGCCCAGGAGTTGGAGGTTGCTGTGAGCTGTGATGCCATGGCACTCTACCCAAGGCGACAGCTTGAGGCTCTGTCTCGAAAAGAAAAGAAAAGAAAAGAATATAATGTATATTTCAAAATAGCTAGAAGAAAATAATTTGGAATGTTCCCAAGACAAAAATATGATTAATGTTTGAGGTGATGAATATCCCGGTTACCCTGATATAATCATTATGTTATATACATGTATCAAAATATCACATGTGCCCCATAATATGTACAAATATTACATTAATATAATTTTTTATTTTTTAGGTCTAGCTTTATTTATATAGTATACTTTTTTTTTTGCAGTTTTTGGCCAGGGCCAGGTTGGAACCTGCCACCTCCGGTATATGGGGCCGGCACCCTACTGCTTGAGCTACAGACGTCACCTTAATATGTTGATAAAAAACAATTTCAAGTATTATTTTCATTTTTAAATAATCGATCCAAAGCCCTGTTAGAACCAGTCCTATGTTCTGTCCAACCTGCCACCTTTTTTTTTTTTGGCTGAGGCTGGGTTTGAACCTGCCACTTCTGGTATATGGGGCCAGTGCCCTACCCCTTGAGCCACAGGTGCCGCCCCCTGCCTGTCTCCTTTTTAATTATGCATACCAATGCATCCTCCTTTTTGTTTCCACCAGTTTGAGTTGCGTTTTTTTTTTTTTGCAGTTTTTGGCTGAGGCCAGGCTTGAACTCGCCACCTCCAGTATATGGGGCTGGTGCCCTACTCGTTTGAACCACAGGCGCCACCTGAGTTTTCCATTTCTTTTCTTTTCTTTTTTTTTTTTCTTTGAGACCAGAGCCTCAAGCTGTTGCCCTGTGTAGAGTGCAGCATAGAGTGCATAGATGTGGCGTCACAGCTCACAGCAACCTCCAATTCCTGGGCTTAAACAATTCTCTTGCCTCTGCCTCCCAAGTAGCTGGGACTACAAGTACCCACCACAATGCCGGGCTAATTTTTGGTTGTAGCCATCATTGTTTGGTGGGCCCGGGCTGGATTCGAACCCACCAGCTCTGGTGTATGTGGCTGGTGCCTTTGCCACTTGAGCCACAGGCACTAAGCCGGGTTTTCTATTCTTTATAACTGAAAAATCTGAATATACCCAACTATGTGCTCTAGGGGTCTGCCCCCAGTATCTGATGGTGACAAAGCAGAGAATTATTGGCCCTATATTTCTTATGGTAAAGTGAAACTTGAGATATCATGGAACTTAAGTACTCATTGTCCTGGAAGGTAAGGTCCGGTAAATATATTGTGGGAATTCCTCCCACACACACACTACATAGACACCTAGCTGAGTAAACCCTCCAACCAAATGAACCTGAAAACCACAGAAGCATCTGAGAAGTATGGGGTGTTGTCCAAAATGCTCTGCACCTTTAACAGCTTAGTTCAACATCCAGATTGCACGCCATGAGGTGCTCCCCTTTTTCTCATGAAGCTTTATGGAATGAAAAACCAGTTGGGGCCAAACACAGTATCTCACTCCGGTAATACTAGCACTTTGGGAGGCCAAGGCAAGAGGACCACTTGAAGCTATGTGTTCAAGACCAACCTGAGAAACATAGTGAGACGCTGTCTCTACAAAAAAATAGAAAAAGTTAGCCAGGCATAGTGGAGCCTGTAGTCCCAGCTGCTCAGGAGGCTGAGGCAAGACTGCTCAAGCCCAAGAGTTTTGAAGTTTTGAGGTTGCCATGAGCTATGATGCCACTGCCCCATAGCCCGGGCAAAAAAGACTTTTTCTTTTTCGTTCAGCCTGTTCCTATCACAAAAGCCCCCCCAAAAGAAAGTCTGTAAAACTTAAACTATATACCAATAGTACATTGTACAGAGGAGGTCTTAAATGACAACATTAAAACTTAGTCCATTACTATTTTAAAAGTGAAGCTGAGACTAGCCAGGCCTGGAGGCTCACGTCTAAAATCCTAGAACTCTGGGAGACTGAAGTGGGTGGATCACTGGAGCTGGTTCCAAACCAGCCTGAGCAAGAGCCAGGGCAAGACCCCCATCTCTAAAAATAGCTGCACGTGGTGGGAGGCAGCTGTAGTCCTTGTCTAAGATGGGCTTAAAGATGGGACGTCTGGCTGAAGCTCTTACCACACATGTCACAGTGTGTATAGTATAAGTTTTGCAGGCTTTTGTGATAGAACAGTACAGTATAAGTTTTGCAGACTTTTGTGATAGAATAGTCTAGTATAAGTTTTACAGGCTTTTGTGATAGAACAGGCTGAACGAAAAAAAATTTCTTTTTTGCCCGGGCTAGAGTGCAGTGGCATTATCACAGATTATGGAACCTCAAAACTTCAAAACTTCTGGGCTTGAGGCAAGAGGATTGCTTGAGCCCAAGAGTTTGAGGTTACTGTGAACGACAACAACCATTGCACTCAAAGAGGGCGATAGAGATTGTCTAAAAA